CTAACGTAAAAACATAATCGCACCAGATGGAACTTAATTTCACATGCCATCGCAGGGGCTTGTACTGGTTTACAACTTTTGCTAAGAGAAGCATAGGGATGACAAACGACATGTAAAACACATGACACTAACAGCCTGAATATTGAACTATGCCCAGAACACAATATTGGCTTTGAGAAACTAGGCAGTCACTAAATGATGAAAACAAACAAATTATACTTCGTTCTTGAACATTTTGATGGACTTCTTCATCCTTGCTTTGCTAGCAAGAAACAACCCTCAAGCATTCCAATATCTCATATATGCCTAGATGCAACTGAACAAAAATATAAAAAGTTAATATAAAAAAGTCAAATAACTGACATATTGCATTACATTATCAATTATAGAAATAATAATAATGATGATGATAATTGATTTTTACCTTTTCAATGTTACTCTTACATAAAAAATGACGAGTGCAGAGACATCACAATTGTGCTTCTCTCAGCATGGCACTGTAACATCTGAGGTACAGCATGCACAATAAACAGCAATGAATGAATTATTTACTATGAAATGATGTTCTTGAGAATGTTAATTTAAACTACACTTACTTATGCAACATAATTACACTTTACTTTTACATCCCTCATAGCATGCTCCTTTACAAAAATCCATTCACACAGATCTACATGTATAACAGACGACTAGAAAGTGGTGAACTTTCTGTTCTTGGGTATAATAAAGGTATACACATTTGAGCTTAGGAAATTAATACATACAACCTGTTCCTTGACTGTGCACTGGGTCTTTGTCCTCTGATCATAAGGAAAGGTACACAGAACACAAAGAAAGAAACAAAGACAAATTTTATAGCTTAGATCGTAAGGCAACAACAAATAAGGGCCAGCACAACGGAAGCTTCAGGTGGGATGAGGTGTACTTCTTGTGCAGTTTTTCTACTTCTGATTCTCTTGATCAGACAACAACCATTTACAAAGCTTTTGGGTGTATGGGTACGTACTGTCCTCACGTTTCCAAAGGGATGACGAGATGTCCATTCTCTCTACACCTCTAATACACTCGTTGGTTCTCACTTTTAAGCATAACTTTTGTGAACATGACATTAACATTTTTTTATGCAAACAACATATAATGAATATGAAGACAACAATGTTGTCCTATTCCATTTCAGGTTAGAGTATCATCAGGAACATGATATAATTTGAGAGTTGATTCACACAGTTAACTGGGAATTGTCTATTAACTTTGGCATGGTAGGCAGAGGGAACACATTGACACACATGGGTATCACTTGAATGTCAGTGGAACCAGTAAATGTAGCGTTCTTTATCGCACTCAACACTTTAAATTGTCCGAAAATTCTATAAGTCCATTTTGTCACAAAAATGATAGAATTATACACTGGTTTCTGAGTTCAGCCTGAGAACAAATTTGTTGCTTTTCGGGTGAATGATTTCCTCTGCTATAGAAAAGTGTGGAATAGCATGGACACTGCACAGAAGACACACATCTGCTTGGCGTAGCTGGAAAATGGTGCCTTCATCGATTGCTCGAGAAAGAAGCTGGTCACACACAAGACCCCATGACTGGACTCCTCGGTGTTCTTTATCATTCTGTAAATGCAAAGATTATGGTTAGATATCCTAGAGATTTTACAAAAAAGAGTTTTAAAAATAGAATAGTACAATAGTAGTATGAAAGACAGAAAAAACATCAAAGTGGACATAAATTTACTTTCTGCCTTCACTAAAAGCAAAGTTTGCCCACTATTACTGTAATAAAAGCACAATGATAATTCTATGAAACTAACCTGTAACACAGGCGATGATAAGAGATACTTTTCTAAGAATGCCCGGGGACTCATATCATGTGCAAGACAGATGGCCAAGTGGTTCAGGATCGACTCCATGGTGTGTCTTGGCTGCTGCCTTGTGATGCGCAGATACTTCTGCAAAGCTCGTGCTAAAGAGGGGAATATGGACTGGGCTGCTTCATGAGGATCCATTGGAGCACTTGGACCTGAAATCAACAGTTTTCATAAGTCAAAGAAAGATTTGATGTTTCAATTTTGACCCTTAAATAAAAGAATATCTAAAATGAACACCACACATGTAAGGATTTCTTTTTCGCATTCTTTATCTATAACAGAATTTCTTACCCTGCTCTTCATGCATTCGCTTAATGTGTGTGAAAGCCTCTTCAGCTGCTGTTATGAGCCGAGCCTTTCGCTTACGCACTCTTCTCTCGTATTCATGTTCCTCGTAGAACCTTTCATTGTGAGCGGAATCGCGTCGTCGAGCACTCGCAGTCAATACAGCTCGTGTATGGCCCTACAAGTTTTGTAGAAAAATATATTAGATTTTTTAGTGGTATCAGGTTTTCTAATTTGTTTATTATGTTATGTTAGGTGTGAAGCTCTCAAAATATTTTTAAATTCTATATTTGTTTAAAATACATCTTCCTTCAAGAGAAGAATATAATTTAAAGCTCTTAA